AAAGGTGCCAGGAAGATCCTCTTGGCATGAGGACACACTCTGGTGTCACTTGCTTCCACAGCTGTGGCCCCACCTAGCCTGAACCATAAAATCATTAAGGTTGGAAAAGACCTCTAAGATCATGAAGTCCAACCATCAACACAACACCACCGTGCCTGCTAAACCATGTCCCAAAGTGCCACATCTACACATTTTTTTAACACCTCCAGGGATGGGGACTCCACCACTTCCCTGAGCAGCCTGTTCCAATGCCTGACCACTCTTTCAGTGAAGAAATTTTCCCTAATATCTAATCTAAACCTCCCCAGATGCAACTTGAAGCCATTTCTTCTCGTCCTATCGCTAGTTACTTGGGAGAAGAGACCAACACCCACCTTACTACAACCTCCTGTGAGGTAGTTGTAGAGAGCAATAAGGTCTCCCCTCAGCTTCCTCTTCTCCACACTAAACAGCCCCAGCTCCCCCAGCCACTCCTCATCAGACTTGTTCTCCAGACCCCTCACCAGCCTCCTTGCCCTTCTCTGGACACGCTCCAGCCCCTCAATGTCCTTCTTGTGAGGGGGCCAAAACTGAACACAGCACTCAAGGTGTAGCCTCACCAGTGCCGAGTACAGGGGCACGATCACCTCCCTACTCCTGCTGGCCACCCTATTCCTGACACAAGCCAGGATGCCACTGGCCTTCTTGGCCACCTGGGCACACTGCTGGCTCACGTTCAGTCAGCTGTTGGCCAACACCCCCAGGTCCTTTTCTGCTGGGCAGCTTTCCAGTCACTCTTCCCCAAGCTTGTAGCGCTGTGTGTAGGGTTGTTGTGACCCAAATGCAGGACCTGGCAAACATGAACCCATTGCTTCTGCTGCCTTCTCATCCCTAACTCAATGACTTGTGTGACCAGTACTTCAGGTGCAGAAGGACCTGCCTTACGCTTAGCTCTTTCTTTGGTTGAGGCTGGAGAGTGGCTGATCTGGGACAAATCTACCCTTTACTTGCTTTGGTCACAAAAAAGCCAACTGAGAACAAACCTTAAGAAACCCACTGCTGACGGAGATGTGCCAGGTTCAGACATACATGCCAGTGCACATGTAACACACTTCTTGACTGCGTTCTGGGCCAGCAGTTTCCCAGTGACTAAACAAATCAGGCAGGAATGGCTTTTCCCTGATTTTCACTGCCTTGTTTTCTCACTCCTTTTGGGTGCACTTGCCTTGTTTAGTCAGGAACCGCCAAAAGTCAGCAAATGAGCTGAGAACTGCATCCCAAACAAACTCTTGTCTGTAGCAGAAGAACACATCAGGCCATTGACCAAGGTCTTTCCCTTCAACACATCTGCATTAACAGAGAGGAAAAAAAGGGTCTCTATGTAAAAATAAAACTATTGAACACTTAGGTGTTGCTATTTTCATCAGAGATTAATGAATGTTTTAAAGCTTCAGTTCACTTGGTGCTTCTCAAAGAAAACATAGCAGACTTGGACGA